CCTGTGGTGGTGTGTAGAGGAGGCCGGGCCGCTGGCTGCAGGGCTTCCAAGTGTGCAGCTCGGTGTCTCTTGGAAAAGCATCTCAGATGCCGTGGGCCATCTTGCTTTCTTTCTCTCTGCTTCCCTTTGCTGTGTCTGCAGGAAGTACATGTCCTAGTCAAGAGCGGTCAGAAGAGCACGTTTCTTTCTTGGCTGTCCTCTCTCTGTGCATCCACATTCCTTTCTTGAAAAATTGATATGTAAGGGCCCTGGCCAGGTTGTTCAGTGGTTAGAACGTCGTCCCACTGCGCCAAGGGTGCAGGTTTGATCCCTGGTCAGGGCACATACAAGAATCAACCAATGATGCATAAATGAGTGGAACACCAAATCGCCCTCCCCTCTCTCCTCCCTTCCTCTGTCTCTCTTTAGAAATCAGTAAAATAAAGAAGTTGATCTATAAGTCATACAGCATGATAAAGTGGCCCAGGTGATGCTCTTGCCCAGGGGTCCTCAAACTTTTTAAACGGGGCCAGTTGAGAGGGGGACGGTTGTGGTAAATAAAATTTGTCAGATGGTGGAAGATCGTCTCACTTGCTAATTAGTAGAGTGTTTGATCGTGTGAGGGTGCGCTTACGCTATCAGGTGCGGAGATGGGACGAGAGATCATCCCATGACGGTGACACGGTAACCCGTGAGACAGAAATTCAGTCTCTGTGACCCAGAGGAGTCTAAGGCGGGCCGGGCCGCGAGAGCCTGGGGGTTCTGCTCTAAGCTTCGCCGGTCCGTGTTCCGCGTGTGCAGCGTTCCTGTTCTCCTCTCGGCGTTAGGTTGGGCTGTCGTTACTGTGCGGAGGTGGCAGATCTTCCTGTCTGTGAGGGTGGAAGAGGTTCTGCTGCCTGCCCTCCGACAGCCCGCGTAGGTGTTATTCTGTTTTCTGGTTGGTGAGCTCTGAGAGGCACAGGTGTGTGTGTGTGCCCGTGCGCACGGGAGCGGTGTGGTCACTGCCAGGCGCACCAGCAGGGCGGCGAGAGCGTGGATTCTGTTCCTCTTCTGCCCGAGCCCCCCACTGTCAGCTCTGCCCTCACGGTTACAGTGGGAGCTGACTCACCGCCACAGACGCTGTGTTCTTATAAAACACTATGTAAAGGGTGTCCCAGAATTCACACAAGAAGTAATTTTGATAGAAAACACAGGTTTATAATTAAAAATTGTAAATTTTTAATTGATTCATAAAGTATACAGTATAGGGTTATGTATGGAATAGCATATCAGGTAAATGGCCTCCACGGCTTTGCTGGCACCTACGCATGATCTGGGCAGCCAATTCTGATCACCAAAACGGGAAATTACATGACCAGGAAATGACTCACGCAGTAATTGAATTGTTTCTCGGGCTGTATGGCATGTGGCACCGTCTTGTTGAAACCACGTGTCGTCCACATCCATATCTTGCAATTTAGGCACAAAAAACTGGGTTATCATGTCGCGATAGCGAGCACCATTAACTGTTATTGCCTGAGCAGCCGCATTTTCGAAGGAGAATGGTTCGATGATGCCTCCAGCCCCAAATCCGCACCAAACAGTGACACGTTGTGGATGCATTTGCTTCTCAACAATCACTCGTGGATTTTCTGAACCCCAAATGCGACAATTTTGTCGATTAACCAAGCCATCAAGATGAAAACGAGCCTCATCGAAATTCAGCCACATTTATGTAAAACTGTCATGGAAAATTTCAACAAAAGAGTGCGTATGTGCCAGCAAAGCCGCGGAGGCCATCTACCTGATATGCTATTCCATACATAATCCTATACTGTATACTTTATGAATCAATAAAAAATTTACAATTTTTAATTACAAACCTGTGTTTTCTATCAAAATTACTTCTTGCGTGAATTTTGGGACACCCTTTATATGGAAGTGATGTGAATTCTTAACATATACTGCATATATACTGTCTGGTTTGTGTATTCTCTTTCGTTAAGCCTCACCTGCGGCCATTTTTTCCATTGATTTTAGAGGCGGGGAGAGAGACATCGTTTGGTTGTCTCCCACACGTGCCCGATGGGGCCAGGGAGCCAACCTGCAACCCAGGTGCCTGCCCTTGACCGGGATTGAACCCACAGCCCTTGTGCTCCGGCCCGTGTTCTAACCGCTGATCCACACTGGTCTGGACTCTGGTTTTGTTCTTTACAGGTTATACATGTGCTTTTTTATGTACTTTGTAGATTTAAAAAATACTTTTTATTTTAGAATAGTTTTTAAAATCCTCACCTGAGGATATGTTCTTACTGATTTTTAGAGAGAGGAAGGCGAGGAGAGAGAAACATCGAACCAGTTGTCTTGGAAAGTAGTGAGTCCGGTGTTACGGGAAGTGTGTCTGCAGACCTTGAGCAGCCATTATCAGGAAGGTTCCAGATGGCTTAGCTCCCTGGCCGGAGGCTGTGCTGACTGACCGCTGAGCGCTCCCCTCTGGTCTCCATGCTCCCGGCAGCCGGGGAGGAGGTGTGCTAGCCACCGAGACCCCAGGAGGCCTCCCCGCTCCATGGCTGATCGTGGTGCCGGGCGCTGCACCGGCTCACTCGGGTCCAGAGCCCACACAGCACCTGCCACCTCATTCTCACCACACAGAGTGTCCCCCACCTCGCGGTTGGGTTCCCATGACTTTTCCTTTAAGGGGAAGGTAACAGAAAACTGCCTTCGGCGGCTCTCACTTTGAGTGTGCGTCGGTAACATTTCCGTGTGACTAGTCTCTCTCAGCTCCCAGCCTGGCCAGCCCGTCGGGACCTGCAGTGGGTTTCTGGGAACTCACCTGCCTGATGAGACATGCCTGCCAGCGATCGTCTTTCTCCTTTTCCTTCCGCTCTTCCTTCTGCACACAGGGCCGCCTTTTGTGGTTTTCCTTTGCTATTTAAACCCTCCGCCCCCTGCCTCCTCTCACATAAACAGAACTCCCCCCTCCCCTTCTCAGCCGCCATGTGACCCTATGAGGATGCACTGGCCGTCTTCACCGCTGGGCAGGATTCACTCTGACGAAGGTGTCACTTCTGCCCGTTCGCGTCCGCGAGCTTTTCTTTTCCAGACCGAAGCCGCCCCTGCCCATGTCCTGGGTGTGCCTTGTTGGAAAGATGGCCGGGTGTGGGCCTCCTCAGGAGAGGAAGGGCCTCACCTGGCTGAGCCTGGGAGGAGGTGCCTGTGTCTCTGATGGATGGTTCTGTGCCGTGGCACCTGACCTTCCTGAGCGTGGCCGCCCTCCACCCTCACCCCAGAGGGCAGGTGCCCTGGGACCTCCCTCCCCTCCTCCTCTATTCCTGTCCTGTGCCAGCTCACCCCTCTCCAGATGTGGGCGCTTCCCACCTCCCCCTCGGCCCCCGTTGTCCCCTCGGTTGGCAGTGCCCTTGAATTTGACACGGTTGGCATCCATCCCCTCTGCAGTGGGAGTGTCCGCTGCCCCCCGCCCCATGCTCCACCAGGAGGTCTGTCACTGTGCCTTTAGCTCTCGGTGTGCGTGGTATCAGCTGCCCTCTGCGCCCGCATGTCCCTGAGGCCGCCCTGGTCAGGGCACACCTAGTAAGCCCTGTTCTGCGAGTTTGGGAAAGGAAGACTGAAGGTGCATCACTTGGGAATTGTGCTGAGAAGTTCGCTGCCAGAGCCGGGGAGGCGCCCGTTTCGTTTCCTCCTTCCTTTGGGGATCCGCTGAGTCCTGTTCACTGGACGCTGGTCCTCAGTCGGCCGGCGCGTGTGCACTTAGCAGTGACTGTGACAGTCCGAGAGGGTCGCACAGGACAGGACACACGAGGCCCTGCTCTCCTAGAGCCGGCAGTGCCCTGGAGAGCCGTGAGCTCAGTAAAGGCGTCCCAAACGGCCCTGTCTTTTAAAAAAATGACTGATTTGAGAGAGAGAGAGAGAAAGAGGGGGGGGGGGAGGAGGAAAGGAGAGAAACATGGATGCATTTCACTCGTCCGTGCAGTCCTTGGTGACCTTGGATGTGCCCTGACAGGGTCGAGTCCGCAGCCTTGGCCTATCAGGGTGACTCTAACCGCGGAGCCGCCTGCAGTAGAGCTTGAGTCTCGGCGGGGAGACTGGGCGGGAACCTGCGGCTCAGGTGCCGGGGTTCTGAGGAAGCCACCCTACGGGCATCCGGCCTCAGCTCATCCCTCCCCTCCCCTCCCCTCTCCTGGCAGCTCCCGGGCACAGGGCAGGGGCATGGCCGCTGGGCTGACACCGTCTCAGTGCCCTTCCCCTCCCTGTCTTCACACCTGTTCCTGCGCCCGGGGCTGCTCTACCCCAGGGGACATGCTGGCCCCCGGGCTCCTGAGTCTTTTTTGTTTTTTAAAAAATTGATTTTAGAGAGAGAGGAAGGAAGAGAGAAACATCGATGTGAGAGAGAAACATTGATCGGTTGTCTCCCGCATGCACCCCGATTGGGGGCTGAACCCACAACCTGGGCATGTGCCCTGACCGGGAATTGAACCAGCAAACTCCAGTGCATGGGCTGACACCCTGCCAACTGCGCCAGGCGGCAGGGCCTCCTGCGTCTGCAGCGCTGCTCCCCTCAGGCCATCAGCCCGCCTGGGCTCCGCCGCTCGGGCCTTCCCTCCTCTCAGTGCTCCGTGCTCCTCTGCCGGCGCCTTCTCCAGCCTGACCACCTCTCAGGGCACCTGCTCAGCAAGCCAGAGAACTGACTTCCCTCCCGCATTTCGTTCAGGAGAAATAAGACTCGCAGACACTCAGAACATTTTGTTCACAGAGGCTGTGTGTTTTGGAAATGCCATTTGGATGTTTTGTTGCTTGTAATCTTTGGCATTCGTTTCTGTTGCTGCCATTCTTTCCATTAAAAAATCAGTCACAAGCCAGGAAAGTAATTAAATTGGTCTGCAAAGGGAAAAGAGAACCAGTATAGAATATTAAATCAAATACACATACTTGGTATTTGCCTGCAAAAACATTAACTTACAGTCTTCGCACAAGCATCTCCTTAGAGATTGATGCACGTCAGGCCTCGGCGAGGTGCCTGATTTCTGTCTTTTCCCTCCAGAATGTATGACAACATGTCCACAATGGTGTACGTGAAGGAGGACAGACTGGAGAAGCTCACGCAGGATGAGATTATCTCCAAGACCAAGCAGGTGATTCAGGGGCTGGAGGCTCTGAAGAACGAGCACAACTCCATTCTTCAGAGTTTACTCGAGACACTGAAGTGTCTGAAGAAAGATGATGAGAGTAACCTGGTGGAGGAGAAGTCCAACATGATCCGAAAGTCCCTGGAGATGCTGGAGCTGGGCCTGAGCGAGGCGCAGGTAGGAGCCAGGGCTGCGGCCTGGAGGGCCGGGCGGGCGGGTCCATGGCGCCTCACGAACCAGAATGCAGAGCCCTATAGAGCAGCGGTTCTCAACCTGTGGGTCGCGACCCCTTTGGCGGTGGAACAACCCTTTCACAGGGGTCGCCTAAGACCATCCTGCATATCAGATATTTACATGACGATTCATAACAGTAGCAACATGACAGTTATGAAGTAGCAACGAAAATAATTTTATGGTTGGGTCACAACATGAGGAACTGTATTTAAAGGGCCAGAAGGTTGAGAACCACTGCTATAGAGTAACAGGGTTGTGCATGTTAGATACATGACGGTTGATTGGGGCGCGTCTGAACTTTAATAAGCAGGGCCAACACGTGTCCTTTAGGCCTGGATTTGGCTGCACACATCAGAAAACAAAAACGGTGGCTCACATCTCAGAGGCTGTGAACCAAGCCCCAGGGTGGCTGTCCCAGCCAGGGTCCGCGGCTGCCCCGTCACCAGGGACCCAGGCCCTGCCGCCCTGCTCCCGGCAGCCTGTCTCCCGGACTAGGACAGCTCCGCTGCAGCCCCGGGGCCCCGCTCTAGCCCCAGGAGGGCAGGAAGGGCGCTGCCTCCTGCTTCCTAGAGCAGAGCGCTCTGCTCCCACCTTGCTGCAGGACACTCCGTGGCCACGCCGCGTGGGGAGATGGGAGTGCATCTTGCCCTTACAGTGCCCGGCTCTGAGCAGGAAGGAGGGAGCGTGGCTGTCCGCCGGCAGCTATGGCCTCTGCGGCACCCAGGCAGGGCTGTGTAGATCTGACAGACCTTCGTTTCTGTCGTGCCAGCATAGACGGGAGACGTGGAGCATGCGGTGCCCCTCGCCCCATAGCTTTTGGCTTTGCCAACGTATTTCAGGTAAAATTAGGTACTTAGCTTTCTTCTTTTTAAAAAAATATATTTTTTATTGATTTTTTATAGAGCGGAAGGGAGAGGGTTAGAGAGTTAGAAACATCAATGAGAGAGAAACATTGATCAGCTGCCTCCTGCACACTCCCTACTGGGGATGTGCCCGCAACCAAGGTACATGCTCTTGACCGGAATCAAACCTGGGACCCTTCAGTCCGCAGGCCGACGCTCTATCCACTGAGCCAAACCAGTCAGGGCCTTAGCTTTCTTCTTGTTGGTGTGACTGGAGCAGCAGCAGCTGCCAGCTCACCAGCTCCTGCTGCTGTGGAGGCCTCCCTCCACACCTGTGCCCACCTCGCCCTCGCGGAGGCCTCCTCCTGACCCTGCTCCGCGCCAGAGAAAGACCTTGAACTTGTTTAGTTACTGCGAAGCTACTGTGCTGCCAGTTCTGTTGTTGAAAAGTGATGTGAACGTGAGTTTCCTTTTTAGTTTGGCAGACGTTGGGGTAGAAAGGAAGAAAAAGCCCGCTTCTGGAGTTTCAGCTCTCACAGGAGGAGGAAAGGAAGAGGGCAGGGCAGGGGGCAGGTCTACAGACCGAGGCCACTTCCCAGCTTTCTCTTGCGCTCCAGTCCCGGGAGCGCACAGCTGCTCAGTCCCCGACGCTGCTCAGGGCCCGCAGGCACAGTCCTGGGCAGCCCCTCGCTAGGACAGACTGTGATGGGAGCGCCAGCGCCTCTGACCTGTGAAGCCAGTGGCAAAGATGCCTTCCCTTCCCTTGGCACCTGGAAGATCTGCCTGCCCTCCCTTCGCCTCCCCCCGCTCCGGGAGTGACCACACTGCACACTTTTGCGTGCAGGCACACACAGTGTCACGTCGGGGGCACGGCGGTGAGAAATTGCGTTGGAGCTGTCTGGATGGAAAGTAAAAAATGCATTTTTATCAGAAGAGTAGCTGTGCGTGCGTTGCTCGTCCACTGGAGAAGCTCTCAGACAAAACACACGTCTATTTTCTGTAGATGCCCTGGGCATGTGCTACTCCTGTGGTGTCCCGTGTGTGGCCTGTGACCGAGGTGGACACGGGAGTCACGGCACGGTGCACCGCGTGCTTGGGGAACGAGCCGCAGGCGGAAGCCGCAGCACGGGGCCTGGGTGGAGGGAGGCGGGCTGGGACCGCTGCCGCAGCCCGTGCCGTCTGCAGGTCATGATGGCCCTGTCCAACCACCTGAACGCCGTGGAGTCGGAGAAGCAGAAGCTGCGTGCGCAGGTGCGCCGCCTGTGCCAGGAGAACCAGTGGCTGCGGGACGAGCTGGCCAACACGCAGCAGAAGCTGCAGAAGAGCGAGCAGTCTGTGGCCCAGCTGGAGGAGGAGAAGAAGCATCTGGAGTTCATGAACCAGCTGAAGAAATACGACGACGACATCTCTCCGTCCGTGAGTGGCTCTGTGGGAGCGCGGTGCTGGCCGTCCCGCGGGAGGTGGGAGGGGCTTCCGCACCGGGGCCAGGGTCTCCCCTCCAGGGAGGCACTGAGCAAGATCGCGGGTTGCGGTCCTGGGACTGAGTCCCTGGGCAAGTCATAGACATTCCCGTTTTTTAATTTTTAATTTTGTTATTGAACAACTTTTTAGGTTTTGTGGGTTTTTTTGAGAGAGAGAGGAAGGGAGAGAGAGAGAAACATTGATGTGAGAGCAAAACATTGATCAGCCACTTCCCACACGCCCCCTACCAGGGATCCAGCCCGCACCCTGGGCATGCGCCCTGACCAGGAATCGAACCAGCAACCCTTTGGTGCACGGGACGACACCTAACCAACAGCCACCCTGGCCAGGGCCTTTTTCTTTTAATTCTCACCCAAGGATATGTTTTTCATTGATTCTGGAGTGGGTGAAGAAGGGAGAGAGGGAGAGAGAAAGATTGATCTTTGCCTCACATGTGCGCCCTGACGGGATTGAACCCACAACCTGGGTATGTGCCTTAACCAGGAATCAAACCCACGACCCTGACCCTTCAGTGCAAGGGATGATGCTCCAACCACTGGACCACCCGGCCAGGGCCATTGAAGTTCTCTTTGCCGTATTCTTTTCTTTGTGTGTTTTTTAGAAGAAGGGTCAGAAAATGTAAAATACGGTAACTATCAGGTCCACGGCAGAGAGGCAGCATTACCTGTGACGGGTCTGCCCAGCTGGGCTCTGGCGCCCTGACCCACGGCGGTCTGGCGTCCATGCCTGTCAGGTACTGGACTCTCTAGGTCCACAGCCACCGTCCAGTCCTGACCCAGAGTTGGGGCTGACTGTGGTGGATGGTGCCGTGGGCCTGCCTTTCTCTGCGGAGCCTGCCCCGCCCCCGGACACCTGCTCTCTGCTGCCTTCTCCTGCCTCCCTCGGGGCCCTGCCAGCTCACTTGTGGTTTCTGGAATGTTACGGTTCTCCAAGGAGCTCAGTTCCCCCCTTTCTGTCTTTGGATGTTGATCCCAGTCTTGATTATTTTTCATCCAGTATTTCTGATTCAGTTAACTTAAAAACAACAATACCTTTTAAATGTTAGATTCACACAAGAGGTGAGAAGATAGAAAAGAATCCCCATCTGCCCTTACCCAGCTTCCCTGCGTCACGCCTCACATCCTGCAGTGCGTGTCGCAGTGAACGCAGCGCCGTAGCCCTGCTGCAGGCTCGTGGGTTAAAGAAACAGACCTCGGCCGCAGTTCAGGGGCAAAGCTGAGACACGCCGGCTGCAGGTTCTTCCCTGCACACAGCCCGTGTTCCCTGTCCCCGTCCGTCCCTCCTGCCCAGGCCCATCCTGAGTCTGCCCTGCATTTGAGTGCTCACTTTTATTTTATTTCATTATTTGTTACTTTTTTGAGCTCCCATTTTCCATTGCCCGCCTGGTGCTGGGCCTGTTCACTACATAATCTGTGACCAGTGCGTCCCACACGTGTGTCTTCAGTCTGAGCCCTCGTCCTGAGCAGACATGACCCTGTGTCAGCTTGGGCTGCCGCACAAAACGCCACCGACGGGTGGCTCGGACCACAGACACGTCTCCCGCCCTGGTGGCTGGAGCCCGAGACCGGGCACCCGCAGGGCTAGTGTCTGGGGAGGACTCTCTTCCTGGCTTGCAGACGGTGACCTGCTCGCTGGGTCCTCACGGGGCGGGGTGGGGGCGAGAGAGAACACGCTCTGGTGTCTCCCCTGATTCGGGCAGGAACCCACCACGAGGGCGTCCCTCACACCGAGTCACACTGCAGCTGGAGGCAGCCCAGTGCCCCAGGCCTGCGTGGACTCGCCCAGGTCTGCGTGGACTCGCCCAGGTCTGCGTGGACTCGCCCAGGTCTGCGCGTGCAGCCATGCGGCGCTTTACGTTTCCACGTGTGTGGTTTTCGAGTGGGTTTATTTCCAGTGAGAGTTTCCCTGCTCTGCTTGAACTTCCTCAGAACCCAGACAGATTGTGGATAATCCTGTGTTTGATCTTAAAAATGGACCATCTTTTCTAAGGTGTTTTTAAAAAATATATTTTTATTGATTTAAGAGAAGAACGGAGAGGGAGAGAGAGAGAGAGAGACATCAATGATGAGAATCATGGATCGGCTGCCTCCTGCACGCCCCACACTGGGAATCGAGCCTGCAACCCGGTCATGTGCCCTGACCAGAAATCGAACTGTGACCTCCTGGTTCATAGGTCGATGCTCAACCCCTGAGCCACGCCGGCCGGGCTCTAAGGTTTTTAATTAAAAAGGTCATAGCAGAGGTTTTATAGCCCTTGTGAGCTAAGATAGTTCTGGGTTGGTTTCCAGGAGGACAAAGACACCGATTCCACCAAAGAACCTCTGGACGACCTTTTCCCGAACGACGACGATGACCCCGGTCAAGGAAGTACGTGGGCGGATTGGATGCCGCATGCAGCAGAGGGAGGTGGTCTGTGCGTGGGACGCGATTGCGCTGACTGGCGGGCTTCTGGGTGGCGCAGCGCCTCACAGGAGCGCGTGCACGCTCGGACCCGCGTTTCCCCAGAGTTCAGAGTTTTCGTGTTGGGATGTAGCGGCGTTAGGCCAGCCGCTCGGCATGGGCCAGGCACAGCAGTTCCGAGTGGGAAAGGCAGGGCTGTCTGCCTGGGCATCTCGTTGTGGGGGGTGTGTGTGTGTGTGTTTTTGGGGGTGTGTCACCCGGGAGGGAGCTGCTGTTACCAGCCTTCCCAGGGGTTGCGGGACAGGTTTCCGTGGTAGGGAGGCCACGTGCCGAAACGGGGCCCAGGCCGGAGGGGAGTTTAACCGGGACGCCTGGGGACCCTGTGCCGCTGACGCGGACCCTCTCTGCAGTCCAGCAGCAGCACAGCAGCGCCGCGGCGGCCGCGCAGCAGGGCGGCTATGAGATCCCAGCGCGCCTGCGCACCCTGCACAACCTGGTCATCCAGTACGCCTCGCAGGGGCGCTACGAGGTGGCCGTGCCCCTGTGCAAGCAGGCCCTGGAGGACCTGGAGAAGACCTCCGGCCACGACCACCCGGACGTGGCCACCATGCTCAACATCCTGGCCCTGGTGTACAGGCTAGTACTTCCTCCGTCCTTCATTTCTCCAGCGGCTTGGTTCCAGTTCAACAAACCTTTTGTTTAATGATTTCAGAGAGAGGGATAGAAACATCCATGATGAGAGAGAATTACTGGTTGGCTGCCTCCTGCATGCCCCCTACTGGGGATCGAGCCCGCAAACCAGGCATGTGCCCCTGACCGGGAATCGAACCGGAGACCTCCTGGTTCTTGGGTCAACGCTTAACCACTGAGCCACACAGGCCGGGCTCAACAAACAGTTTTTGAGACCCAAGTATATGTGAGCCTTTGGGTTGGCTGTGAGGCCCTCGGGCTGAACACGTAGCTCTGTTCTCAGGGGAGTTCAGCTTCCATCTCTGCTAAACGGCCCGGGGACAGAGGAGGGTGTCCAGAGCCTTAGCTTCTCGGAGCCTCCGCTCCTCATCTCGCAAATGGGGCAGTGACAGTCCCCGTTCAGAGGGCCAGGGAAGGGCGGGGGTGACGCCTGGCCTGCTGGCAGACAGAATACTCCCAGTGCTTCATTTCAGAGACCAGAATAAGTACAAGGACGCTGCTAACCTGCTGAACGACGCCTTGGCCATCCGCGAGAAAACGCTGGGCAAAGACCACCCCGCGGTGAGTGGGCCTGATTCTCTCTCCTTGTAGATGCTTGGTTTTCCCTGAGGTTTTCACCGACGCATTTTACTATTGAACCCACAGGGAAGGTAAGCGCTGCCTTCCGCTAGATGGCACAGGTAGGCCTCCCGCCAGCTCCCGCGGGGACTGGCACCAGCAAGGCCAGCGCACGCCTCGTCCCTCCCAAATGGAGCACGCGCTGTAGTTCTTGATCCGGAATCGAATCGCATGTCTTGTGAAATTCTGTCCTGCAGAACTGGGTCCTTTTTAAAGTCTGCTCCCATTTGCACACAGGCTGTGGTGGGCGGTGTGGTTCCCAGTGAGATTTATTAAAAATCAAGATCCCGCGATGCTGATTGTGTAATCCTAGCACCTGTGGTGTTGCTCTGTGATCTCTGTCCGGTGAATTGCTCTCTTGCTTTTGATGGAACTCGGTCCCTGACCGCCCTGAGCACGCCAGCCACGCTCACCCTCTCGCCGCCCCTGTTGCAGGTGGCAGCAACTCTGAACAACCTCGCGGTGCTTTACGGCAAGAGAGGGAAGTACAAGGAGGCGGAGCCGCTGTGTAAAAGAGCCCTGGAGATCCGAGAAAAGGTGCGGCACCGCGTGGCGCGTTATTTATGCGTTTATCTCACTTTTACTTATTTTGAATTTACTGTGTTGGGGTGGCCTTGTTAATGGGGTCACGCAGGTTTCAGGTGTGAGTTGGGGGCTTTTAGAGGACTTCCGGTTCACCTTTGACAGAGGTAGGTGGGCACTGACGGTTTACGAGAAGTAACTCGTTCCACAAGGTGGGCCACCCTCAGCGACGCAGCTGGCCCTGCCGTAGGGTGCGCAGGGGCAGGGCCAGGAGTGGTGCTGAGGGAGGGCTTGCTCGGGACTGGACGTTCCCTCGGCAGCGAGCATGTGCCCGCCCGGAGGAGAGTAGCCACCAAATAGGCTTCTGCAGCTTTAAAAAGGGAACGTTCTTTCCAGACCTAAGGATGGACTCGGCTGTAGATTAAGTCAGTGGACGTCTGCCCACTGCTGCGTGGTAGGGTGATTGCACTTGAAGGCAGGCTGGCTGGCGGGATTGGGCGGGATTGGGCGGGAGACTGGGAGTTCCTTTTGAGGCTGGTTGCACAGGAAGGCGTCAGGCAGGGCTGGCTAAGTTTGGGCTGTTCCAGGACTTGGCAGTCATAGTAGCATTGGCTTCAGAAAAGCCAGTTTCCTCCTCAAAATGTGCATGACGTTCCCACCACGTAGGGTCGTTGTAAGATTTAAGGAAGCTAAAGCATGTAAAGGGAACCAGCCTCTCCCCCGCCCCCCAGGAGAGCCCCCCACGTTCTGGCTGCGTCACTTCATCACAGGGCACGGAGCCGCACAGCCCCGCAGCCTGGAGGGCGGCCTCCGGTGGACGCTCAGGAAGAGCTCACGTGGGGAGCGGACTGGCTGGTGGTGAGGCAGGCGGAGGTGCTGACACCGTGCTTTGTTCTCAGGTTTTGGGGAAGGACCACCCGGACGTGGCCAAGCAGTTGAATAACTTGGCCCTGCTGTGCCAGAACCAGGGCAAGTACGAGGAGGTGGAGTATTACTACCAGAGGGCCCTCGAGATCTACCAGACCAAGCTGGGGCCCGACGACCCCAACGTGGCCAAGACCAAGAACAACCTGGTAGGTGGGCCGGGGCGCGGGGAGCGGGGCGCTTCCTAGTGGCACTGTCCCGAGGAGCGCGCTCATTCGCGCGGGAGGATGCTGAGCACCTCATCTTCTTTCAAGGCCTCCTGCTACCTGAAGCAAGGGAAGTTCAAGCAAGCAGAGACCCTGTACAAAGAGATCCTCACACGTGCGCATGAGCGGGAGTTTGGCTCTGTGGACGGTAAGGATGCCCTCGTTTCTAAGCAGATGCTGCTGCAGGCTGCCTGGCAGTCCTATGCCAGCCCGCAGTTGGCACACCCGCGTCGTCACAGCAGTTTCAAGATGCAGCTGACTTGAGCGTTAGAAATGATTTTCCAGACGGCACTCAGAGGAGGGGCGGGCACAGCTGGGTGCTCGTGGCACGTTTGTTCATCTCTCAGTGACACGGTGGACACACGCGTGCTCACCCGGCATCTCTCACCTCTGTGGGGTGATGGCCACCTGCCTCAGCTTTTCACGCTGTCCTCTCCAGAGTCCACGCCTGTTTCAGGCACAGCCCAGATGCACCAACTCTAGAAAACCTCCCTGGAGTCATTCATGCTTTCTAGAATGTTCTTACCGTGCTGGCGGGGACCTGCCAAAGTGCACATTCTCCACCGGCCCAGGCCTGGCCGTCACACCCTCAGCATCGGAGGTGCTCAGGGCCCAGTTCTGGAGGGAAAGCTGTCAGGGTTCCAGTGGCTCAGGAGGCCGCGGGGACACGAGGCACTTGCTTCCCTTCGCTAGGAGTTCACTGATGTTTGGAAAGAGGACGGTTGCTGCTTGTTGTCGGACTCTTGTTTACTGCGAGGTTGTTCACATTTTAAAACTCCCGAGGGCTGTGTGCAGATTCCAGCGTTAAAAGTTTCATGATGGCCCTCGCTGGTGTGGCTCAGTGGGTAGAACATCGGCCTGCGGACTGAAGGGTCCTGGGTTCAGTTCTGGTCAAGGGCACATCCCCAGGTTGTGGGCTTGATTCCCAGTGGGGGGCGTGCAGGAGGCAGCCAATCAGTGAGTCTTTCTCTCTCTCCCTGTCTGAAATCAATAAAACATATAAAAGAAGAAAAGTTTCATGATGGGAACCCTCACGGGTGTCGGGTTTGCTGACGCCTCCCAGGTCTGGTACGTTTCCTCCCGCACCTCTGTCCCCCGCACCGCACGAGCCGGCACTTCCTGCGAGCTCGTGTGGTCCTGTCCTCCAGCCTGTCCTCCGTGGGAACGGCGCCCATCCACGAGGGAGAAGTCACCCCAAGCAGGATCCTAGAACAGCAGGAGCCTTGCAGTCCCTGGAACGTGGCCCCCTTTCACGGGGCTCGGTCACCTCCGCTGACAGTGTGTTGTTTTTCTCCCTCAGACGAAAACAAGCCCATCTGGATGCACGCGGAGGAGAGAGAGGAGTGCAAAGTGAGTTCCGCCCCAGGGCCCCGCGGGCTCGGTGCTGCGGGGCTGCACTCACCACCTCCTCTTCTCCTTCAGGGGAAGCAGAAGGACGGGCCCGCGTTTGGGGAGTATGGCGGCTGGTACAAGGCCTGCAAGGTGGACAGGTGCGTCTGCTTCCCTGCAAACAACAGCTGTGGACGGGGCTGCTGGGGCCTGACAGAGCCGCTGGCAGGGCCACGACTGGGCAGCGTTCTCACGGGTGTGGTTTCCTCGGGCTCCACTAAAACACCGTCACTTTGGGAGGAGGTGCCCCGCCGTCCGGGTAAAACACGGCTCGGTGCACTCACGCTGCTCTGTCCAAGGCTGCCGACCACATGGCAGCAGGAGAGGGCCCAGGGGACACGGGAAGGCGGCCGCAGAGCAGGGCCAGCAGCCCTGCAGGAGCCAGCACTCACAGACCCCTGCGGGGACGTCTCCTCTCGGAGACCCTAAGCCGTGGCCCCCTCTCCTCGCTGCCTTGGCCTCCGTGTCTGCAGAGGGCAGTGTGAGCGCCCGGCGGCCCTGTGAGCCGCTGCCTGTGCCTCCCACACCAGGCCTGCCGGCCGCTTCCCCCGACTGGAACCCCTCCTGCTCTCCTGACTGCTCGCCAACTCCTCCTCTAAGACTCAGTTTCCCAGTCATCTAGTTCGGGAAGTCTCTGACCCCTAGCCCGGTTCCCCGTGGCGCGGACAGATGTGCTGGGGGTGGGGGCTCTCCGACACGGGCACAGCTGCTTCATGCGTCTCCTGACGGGCCGTCGCACCAAATGAACGGGCGTGGCTGGGCCTGGAAGGCTGCTGGGCACAGCGCCGAGCACACGTCCCTGCTGGCTCTGCTCCGTCACGTCAGCGCTCATCCCGGGGTGGTGAGGGGCGCCCTCTCACTGCCGGACGATACGCTCACTGCCGGGAAGCACGGTGTCCCAGACAGCCCGCGCAGACTCTGTGGCGGTGGCCAAGGTCCGAGCTGCCGGGCAGCTCTGGGAGGCGGGAGCTGGAGGGAGAAGAGCTGCTGGTCCCCTTACGTGGGAAACAAGGGCCATGGAGCCTGAGAGCCATTTCTCACCAACACCAGTCCTCAGATCCCGCGCTGGAGGTCGCGGCCGCTCGGAAGCATGTTAACAGCTCAGCACCGTGTGCTCTCTTCCAGCCCGACCGTCACCACGACGTTAAAGAACCTCGGGGCGCTCTACAGGCGCCAGGGCAAGTTCGAAGCTGCAGAGACCCTGGAGGAAGCCGCCATGCGGTCACGCAAGCAGGTCGGTCAGCCCCTCTCTCTAACACGCGCCTTACTGAGATCTTGACTTAGAGATAGAAAGTTCGTAATGTATTAATTTTACAAATAAGATGATATTGTTTAAATACTATACGTCTGACCCAGAAACACGAGTAGCAGAAGAGAACCCCAGTCGATCCAGTCCTCCAGAATTGGAAATGGGCGCCCAGAGCGGGGGCAGCGTGTGCACACGTGTCTGGTGGGTCTAGTGCCCAGGGCGTGTGAAGACAAGGCCACGGGGCCTGGGGCGCAGAGCACCTGCTGGGCCCGCACACAGGTGAAAGGTGCCCATCTGTAGTCGTAGGGAACGCACTTTAAAGCCACACGCACTTCTTCACACCCAGCGGGATGGCTGCGATAAACAGAACGGAAGACAGTAACTGGCACCGCGTGTGCTGCTGGGCCGTGACCGGGCCGCCACACAGACACCACCCGCGTGAGCCAGAACCCCCCTCCTCGGCGCACACGGCAGCTGAACGCAGGCCGGCGGCCCAGGTGCTGCAGGTCCTTGTCGGTAGGTCCGCTCTGGAGCGCTGTGGGCGCGAAGCAGCAGGGCCTCTGGGGAGGACGCAGTGCTGGGTCCTGTGAGCCTCTGGCCGCGCTGGCAGCCGCTGACCCGCCGAAGCCGTGTCCCGTGTGCTTTCTGTTCACAGACACCTACGTGGGTGCATTGGTGATGCGTTAGCACCAGTTCAGGGCCCAGCACCGGCTCAGGCCCGCGGGAGGCCCACCTGCACAGGCGTCGCTCCGTCTGTGTGCACTTAGGGACCTGGGCGCGCCGCAGCGCGGGGCGGGGCTGTTCAGGCAGCGAGCGTCCAGCAGATGGGCAAAATGCGGAGAACGTGGACTGAGTAACGGACGGAGCAGGCGCTGTTCACAGCGCAAAGAGTGTCACCTTGGCGCCTGGCGGGCCGTGCACACCGGGTGGCAGGTGCCTGCGAGAGCACTGGGTGTGGGTTTGGGGTTACAGGTGAGTTCTGGCAAGCGGGTGAGCGCACACGCGCACAGTGTGGCCTCTCATGCCGCTGGACTGTCCCGTCATGTAGGCCTAGAGACACCACGTCCACGGGGGTGTCGCACGAGGTTCTTAGCAGTAAAGAGGTAGGAGGACTGAGGCGCTTTCCTTCACCAACCGAGAGCAGTGATGCCCCACACAACTCGCACAGGAAGTGAGGGCACGGAGGCCAGTTTCCTGGGTGAGGAGCACGTGTAGTGGCCGTGGTCGGGCCGGGCCTCCCGAGGAGGAGGGCCCATCGGATCGGCACAGGTGAGCGCTCCACGAGCCGCTGGGTGAACCCATGCGGAACCAGAGGCACGTTGCCCGCAGTCATCGGGCCCGGACGTGCACAGGAAGCCTGTTGTGTGTTAACCCGCCACATGCTATTACAGACATGTGTGAGGAGTGCCTGCTGCTCAGCACTTCGCAGACGGAGCGTCTGCTCTGGACGTGCCTTTGTAGTTAGTGGCTGGTCTTCAGTGTCACACTGAGAACACAGTCATCCATGAGTTTCCAGCAGGTGCTGCCTGGGAGGCGTGCACGCCAGGGAGTTAGTGGTGACGTTAGACACGGCATTCCCATCCCACCACCACACTTCCGAACAGGAGCACGGGGAGGGCTCCAGCCAGGACCCGCCCGTCCGTCACCATCACGGGCATGCCTCCGGTGCCTCCCCTCCCCGCCCACCATCGGGCCTGTTGTGAAGCCGTCCCAGGGAGTGCACCAGGGCCCTTCCTGCCGGACCCCAGCCAGCGCCACTCGCTGGCTCAGTCTGTGACTTGATGGGAGGTGAACGGGCTCAGGGAAGGCACCCCTGCAGGGCGCGTCCCCAGGACACGGTGGTCATTCCCTGTGGTTCAGAGCCTGTGTTTTCTAGTGACGTTTCTGTTTGGAAAACCCTAATCAGCTTACGTGCTAACAGGTGAACCCTCCCGCCTGACTCGCAGGGTCTTGACAATGTTCACAAACAGAGAGTGGCCGAGGTGCTGGGCGACCCCGAGGGCTCGGAGAAGCGCCGGAGCCGGGAGAGCCTGACCGTGGACACGGTCAAGTACGAGAGCGGCCCTGACGGAGGGGAGGAAGTGAGTATGGGCGTAGAGTGGAGCGGGGTAAGTACAGCGCGCGGCCCCGCCCCCGCAGCCCTTCTTCTGTCGACTCTGCTTCCCTCCACTCCAGCCGCAGCTCTGCTTCTGTAAGTCCCGTCTCCTGCTCACCCTGAGCCTGCGCCTCCTGGAAGTGGCCGTTTTCTCTCCATGAAAGCTGTTGGCCTAGCTTCCAGCACCTAAATGCTGATTGAGTGTCCTGGTTGTTTAAAGCACAGTCCGTAGTCCGGTTTTACTTTAATCATAGGAAGCGTGCAGGTGACTAACTCGCTTGTTAACTTACCTCTTCCCCGCTAACTCCAGCGCCCCTCATTTACGGCCCGGCCGCCGTAGGCCTGGTGGGAATTACTGTACAGGCCTTGGACGGGCTGATGTTCCCGGCAGAACTTGTCTAGGGAAGGGGCAGGGCAGGGGCAGGGCAGGGGCAGGAAGGTTCGGTGGCCGCACTTCGTGTCCCACCGTGGTCCTGAGCGCCAGTTCTGTGGGGTCGGTCCATCGCCCTTCACGACTCCCTGCCACAGTTTTTCGGGTCCAGAACCCGGGCCTGTGTTTGAGACATGTCAGCCCCTGGTGGCTCTGCCTGTGGCCTCCCTCGTGGTGGCCTGTGGGTGGGGCCGGTGCAGGGAGCTGTCAGGGAGTGCAGAGCTGGCAGCTCGGTGTCGCTGTATCGGGGAGGAGTGGCTGCAGGTGAGCCTTGCCGCCCAGGTGCGCTGGTTTTTCGAAGCCGCAGTAGTGCACCCTCAGCTGTCACCGCAGATGTTTTGCCGAGTAGTTTTGGCTTTCTCGTCTGTGTTTTTAAATCTGTGTTATCCTTTGGGATTTCCTGTAGCTGCAGCACGTTGGTAAAGGTGAGCCTATGAGATGTTCCGTACAGATTGTTATTGGCCAAAATTACAGGGAGAACATCTGGGCCGTCTGTCCGCAGCTTCCTGGCTTTGGTTTTTTTCTGTGCCAGGACAACCAATCAGCATCTGCTCTGATCACTCACGCCCTTGGGCGCAGTCCCTGCTCGCCCTCAGGCCTGCTGTGTGCGCCCCCTCCCGGTGCTCTCTGCTCTCCTCCGCATGCGTCTGAGGGCGGGCCCTTTGCTAGTCGGCCGCCGCACCCGTGCAGGTGCTAACGCTCTTGACGTTCGGCAGGAGCGTCTCCTGAGACAGTATTTCTAGGTCAGCCTGTCTGACATCGTGATGACACAGCTATTGCTGACCGTCTTCAAGGCCGAGACCCGGGGGAGGGCTGCCTTCATCCGGGCACGCCCCCATGTTTCACATTTCCCTCCTCACTCGGCATGCACTGTCCCTGGGGGTGCTCACACCTGGGGCTCGGACACCTTCATGGTGCACTTTCAGGCCCTCGTGGCTCTGCATCTCTGACAGCCCGTCCCGGGCACGTGCAGAGAGGCCGGCCGGACCGGAGGAGCCTGGGTCTTAGCGCCCGGGGCAGCAGCAGGAGCCCTCTCCCTGAGTGGAGAGTAGGGAAAGCAGCAGAGGGGCAGTGACCGCCCAGGTTAACGAGGTGGCTGTGGCGGCTGGGCTCACCGCTGGTCACCGAGGCCACCACTTAGACTCAGCCTGTCGCCTCATGGGACGGCCTCGGCTCCCAGGCTGGCTTCCTCAAAGCTCTAAGGTTCCAAGGAGGGAATGCTGAGCTCTCCCAAAATTTGACAAGTTTATTTCTTTATTTTTTTAAAATATATTTTTATTGATTTTTTACAGAGAGGAAGGGAGAGGGATAGTGAGTTAAAAACTTTACAGAGAGCCCCCTACTGGGGTTGGAGCCCCAAACCAAGTACATGCCCTTGACCAGAATCGAACCCGGGACCCTTCAGTCCTCAGCCAGAGGCTCTATCCACTGAGCCAAACCAGTTAGCAAGCATGCGGCCCGCCGGCTGCGAGTTTGGCATGCTTGGGTTAGGGTGACATGTTATTTGTAAAGCATACTTCTATTGAGAAGAGTCACTAAGGCAGCAGGCACACGCAGAGGTTTGAGATCAGCTGTGTTGAGGTATAATTGCTCGCAACCAAAGGAGCCCGTCCTCAGGTCACCTGCAGCCATGCTCCGTCCTCCTGCAGGGAGAATGGCGGCTCACGCTGTCTGCGGGCGGGGGGCCCGGCCACGGTGAGAACCGCCCCCTGTGGCTCCGACAGGCCTGGCCTGTTCTCTGCTCGACTCAGTCGTCCTGAGCACTGTGACCCAGGCCTGGTGAGGAAGTGCCATTGAGGCTTCACTTGACATCGGGCTTCTCATCAGATTCTAGTTTAAGAAGAATGTCAGTGCTCTCTGCAGCCGCCCCACAGGGCGGAGCGAGTGCTGTGGGCAGGTCCAGGAGCGGCCACAGCTCCTCCAGTTGCAGCCAATTCCATCGACAGGCAGGGTCGCTCTCAGCGCCAGAAACAGCCGTCGCTCTCAGCGCCAGAAACAGCCTTAGAACAGGGCAGCGAGTCAGGTCAGGGTCCTGCCTGGGGGTACTGGGCATCTGGGCCAGCACAGAGCTGGGCACAGGCTGTTAGAGACGAGAGCAGGAAGGACTGGCCCCAACCAGGACCCCATGTGAGGGTTGGGCAGGGGCTTGGCCCTAGGGGACCTGCTCTCCCCAGCAGGCCTGGAGCCATCCTGTTTGGTCTGTGAGGGGCAGCTGCTCCCGCCCTCTCCTCTGCAAGTGCCGGGCTGAACGGAGGTCCCCGTCAGGGCACCTCTGAGGGTGTCCTCCTTGATGGTCCTGCTAAGCACACAGATGTGGGCTGCAAAGGAACCTTTAGGGGTGAAATTGGACTCCCTTGGCCCCCGTTCATGTGGCTTCGTGTTGGCTGATAGGCACGTGTATGTCCGGCCACTGGGAGCCCCAGGCCTGGTGGCTGAGGCCCCACGTCGGCCTTCCCTCCGCACTGTCCCTGCAGTTTGTGGGGCAGTTCTCTGCCGGTCCTTCAGGAGCAGCCCCCACTCTTCCCGCACTGCTCCCGCGTGGTATTTCTGAAAGCTTCAGTACACTACGCTCTTACCCAGGGTTACTGGGGAATTGGGTACACTGTGAACTAGGAATAGATTAGCCCTGGTCGGTAGCTCAGTTGGTTAGAGCATTGTCCCAATACACCCAGGTTGCAGGTTCGATTCCCAGTCAGGGCACATACAAAAAGCAACCAGTGAATGCATAAACAAGTGGAGCAACAGATCGATGTTTCTCTCTCTCTCCCTCTCTTCCTTCCTCTCTCTAAAATCAACCAATCAATATATTTTTAAAAAGAGATTAATATTCATTTTAAAACTAGAGGCCCGGTGCATGAAATTTGTGCACTGGGAGAGGGAGGGGTGGTTCCCTCAGCCCATCCCGCACCCTCTTGCAGTCCAGCCCTCGGGGGATGTCCAACTGATGGCTTAGGCCTGCTCCCGCCACCACCGCTGTGCTCGCCAGCCATGAGCCTGGCTACTGGCTGAGTGGGCTCCCCTTGTGGGAGCACACTGACCACCAGGGGGCAGCTCCTGTGTTGAGCGTCTGCCCCCTGGTGGTCAGTGCATGTCATAGCGACCAGTCGTTCCATCATTCGGTCGATTTGCATATTAGCCTTTTATTATAAAGTTTTTGTGTGGAATATATTTTTAAAAATTGAAGAACACTCAGTCACCTGAAACCCTTACAGTGATCCCTGCTGTGCTAGCCAGTGCGGCAGAGCCCGCTGTGGAGGTGCTGGGCCTGCCCCGGAGCAGGAGCTGTTCCAGCGGCAGGTGCAGGGACCCACCAGCCCAGCCCTTTTAAAAAAATGTGTCTTTATTGTTGAAAGTATTACAGATGCCCCTTTTCTCCCCCCATTGTCCCCTCCCCCACTCCCCTCCCCCCCCTTCCCACACCATTGTCTGCCCATGAGCCCTGTGTGTATGCATATACGTTCATGGGCCAGTCTCTTCACATACATCCGTCTGATGCATGCTCCTGAAGCCCAGCTGGTTCTCACAGGGTGTAAGGGGGTGAGCGCAAGTGGTGGGCAGACCACTGCCCAGCCCCAGCCCCAGGGCACCGTGCTGCCCCAGCCCAGTGCCAGCCTGTGGCCAGGATGGAGGGAGGGGAGGGGTGGGGAGAGGAGGGCTGAGAGTCCGGGGTGGGGGTCTCCCCTCTGCTGGGTGTCCAGCACTGAGCTTGGATGTGAAGGCGGATGTGCTGTTGATGGAGTTACATTACATTTCACCACCTTCTGCTGAAGAGCAGCAAGAGCTAATGTTTTCTTGTCCTCCCAGCGCTCACGGGGAGTTGGTAACAAGTTTTATTTTTCCATTTTAAAGATGAGAAAAATGAAGCTCGGGCTGGTTAAATGACTTGCTCAGCGTCCCATGGTGAGTCAGAACGGCTGGGGCTTCGGTGCCAGACGGCCAGGTCTCTCCGCAGGCCCAGGATGGCTGCTGCCCGTGGGAATTGATTCTAGAAAGTACTTTACTGGGGTTGTCAGTGCATGTTCAGAAGGTGTTGCAGACCTCAAGTCTCTGCGAGGTTCGTGTTCTTAAGAGAAGGCCCTCCCTCCCTCTGGGGAGAGCTCACAGCTCAGGAGAGGGTTCAGGGAGTTGGAGCGCCACACGGCGCCTCCGGCAGCCTCTCTTGGCCTCGGTGTTGCCCCTGCAGAGCCTCCTTCCTGACCACTCGGTGGCGCCTTTTTATTTTTATAGCCAGTGTCAGGGAGGTCCTGGCCAGGCGCACCCAGGCCCTGGGAGCACTGGCTGCCCCCGTGCACGGGCGTCAGGCCCAGCCCTGCTCACACGGGGCGCAGGTAGTCCGAAGCCCCCAGTGCCCGCTCTGTGACCTAGAAATACTGTGAGCCGGCGGGCGGCGCGCGGGCAGGGGCCTCCCTCCGAGTTTCACCTGGCTCTCTCTCGTTTCTGTCTGACAGGCCTAGCTGCCTTGTGACTCTGTCTCCTGCATGACGGGCGGCACCTCCAGCTCCCGCTGCCGCGGCTGTTAGCGACCCTAGGATCTTGTCCGAGCTCCACCTTGTGACGGGCATTCCTCTCGGTGCTGCTGTCCTTTGGGGGGTCCCTCTCTCTGTATACACGTAGCTTTGCTGGATATGTACTTAGTAATATAAACTGTATCAATAAAAACCACGTACTGTGTAACATATGAGCTTAAAACTTCAGAGCCATTAGCTGTCACTTAGCTGGAAGGTAGTTAGAAGTGTCCGCAGGCGTTACTGCCGTGGCGGACGGTGGCCGTGGCCGCTGACTCGCTCGGCTGTGAGTAGGGCATGTGCTCCCAGGTCCTCAGACGGCGCCCCTCGCCGGGCCTGGCTCCCCGGCTCCCGCCCCAGTAGCAGCGCTGTGTAGTCTGTGTGGAAATTGGGCAGTTCTGCTTCTCTCTACTAATCTGTGTTGGTGACTGTGTACCTGTCTTTCTAACTTCTAATAAACTCACTGCAACTGACTGTCTCCGTGTCTGTCTGCTCAGAGTGTCCCCCTCCCCTGGACGCAGCCTCGCGTACGTCCTGGGGGCGCGGCTGCTGGCCCTTCCCTGCGGTTCATCCGGGAATGAAGTCTGTGCCCTCGCTCTCCTGCTCTCTGTGGTCCCCACACTCCCGGCGGGTCCTGGGCATGTCTGCGTGGACAGGACGGCCGCGGGCCTTCCTGCTCCCCACGTCCTAGTGTCCGGCTATTCCTATAGAATGAGCGTTTCCTTACGTACTGAGGAAACAGTGCTTCTAAGTGTCACATTGTGACGGCGTCTGAAGGAGCTGGTCTCGGGCTGGTGTCTCGCCCGCCTGCTGCTCGCTGTGGGATTGGATTTCAAGCCGCGCGACCTTTCCCAAGACTTTGTTATCTTTTGTTTCAAAGCAGCAACACAGTTACGTTCCTGTGGGAATGTTATTTTTGTTTGAGCTTCTTCACGTTCAAAAGTTTTCATGGTCATTAGATACGTTTTAATTACATTTAAAATGGGGAGTTTCTGTTTAAAGTCCACTGACACCCTGGCGAGTGGTCACTTCTGTGGGCTGGGAGTGACGCCCTCCAATGACAGGTCATGGTCTGGTTCTTGTCCCTCGGCTGTGCCCGGGCGGGACGGGGGCGGGGACGGGGACCCCGGCCTCACCGTGTTCCCGTCTCTTTCAGGACGGCACTGGATCGCTGAGGCGCAGCGGCTCCTTTAGCAAGCTGCGGGCCTCCATTAGACGCAGCAGCGAGAAGCTGGTTAGGAAGCTGAAGGGAGGAAGTGCCCGGGAGAGTGAGCCGAGGAACCCCGGGTAACTATCTTGGCGCCCCCCGTCCCACCTGCTCAGCGCCGTCTGCTCCCGCACCGACCCGGGCCCCGGGCCCCGAGTCCCGGCCTCCCAGCGAGGCGGAGAGTCGCTGTGCAGCGTCCTGCCGGAGGCCGTGGCTCGTGGCTCACGGGAACGTGGACGTCTTTGTTCCGTGGTCAGGGCCTCACCGGCGACAAGGAGCCTGCACGGTTACCTGTGCACATTGGCTTGTCTGCCTGCACATGACCACCTTCTAAAGAATTAGCTCGACTTAGATCCTGAAAACCAGTCTCAATCTTGTAAAATCAAAGGCCACCTCTGCCTGTGAAGCTTTGCACAGTGTTAACAGAGGGAGAAAGATGGTTTCAAATAGAAGGATCGCCATGTCAGGGCTTTAGAACGCGAGGCTCCGTGTGTTTAAAAGGGTTCGGTCATGGGTCTTGGAACCTTTGAACCATGACTTTCGTGGCCAGAGGAGTTCGGTGCGAAGGAGCCCTGTGCCCACGAGGGAGCTGGGCGGGGTCTCTCCTGGGTCACTGGCCTGGGCGCTGCTGTTTGGATGCATTTCCCACAGAAGCACGGTTTTGTCAGCTCTTCCCTGAAACTCACTTTCAAAATGGCACGTGCATCTCACTGGTTGATTCTAAGTAAAACTCTTTTATTTTTTCATCCTCACCTGAGGACATGCTGAGAGAGAGGAATGGAGAGAGAACCATCAATGTGAGAGAGAAAACACATCGATCGGTGGCCTTTCGTATGTGCCCCGACCGGGATTGAACATGACCCCCCGGGTATGTGCCCCGACCGGGGATTGAACATGAACCCCCAGGTATGTGCCCCGACCGGGGATTGAACATGAACCCCCAGGTATGTGCCCCGACCGGGGATTGAAGGTGAACCCCTGGGTGTGTGCCCCGACCGGGGATTGAACATGAACCCCCAGGTATGTGCCCCGTCCGGGGATTGAACATGAACCCCCAGGTATGTGCCCCGACCGGGGATTGAACATGAGCCCCCAGGTATGTGCCCCGACCGGGGATTGAACATGAGCCCCCAGGTATGTGCCCCGACCGGGGATTGAACATGAGCCCCCAGGTATGTGCCCCGACCGGGGATTGAACATGACCCCCCGGGTATGTGCCCCGACCGGGGATTGAACATGAACCCCCAGGTATGTGCCCCGACCGGGGATTGAACATGAACCCCCAGGTATGTGCCCCGTCCGGGGATTGAACATGAACCCCCAGGTATGTGCCCCGACCGGGGATTGAAGGTGAACCCCCAGGTATGTGCCCCGACCGGGGATTGAACATGAACCCCTGGGTGTGTGCCCTGACCGGGGATTGAAGGCGAACCCCCAGGTATGTGCCCCGACTGGGGATTGAACATGAGCCCCCAGGTATGTGCTCTGACCGGGGATTGAAGGTGAACTCCCAGGTATGTGCCCTGACCGGGGATTGAGCCGGCTCCAGCCGCTCTGGTGGTCAGTAAAACTGTTTAGCAGGTGATTCCACTTGCGGTTCTGTGGGTCGGAGCTCTCACGTCTCAGGACTGAGACCAGTTCCTCGGGTGACATTGGAGATAAGAAGTTAGGGGCCCACTCAGGTGTTTCCTTTGCCTTTTCTTTGCCAGTCCTCACCGGAGGGCGTTTTCCCATTGACTTTTATCCAGGATGGAAGGGGAGGGGGGAGAGAGACATCAGTGTGAAGAGACACCTGGATGGGTTGCCTCTGCGCTGCGCCCCGACTGGGATTGAACCGAGACCCTGGGTGGGCCGGCCGGCACTCACCACAGCACGGCCAGGGCTCCTTTGCGTTCGGGGAGGGGCAGGCTCGCCCGCTCCTTGCTGGCCGGGTCCACCTCAGACCCGTGGCGTCAGCCAGCGCCCGGCCTCTCTGCTGTGGAGGGATGCGTGTCTTACAGCCCAAGGGGGGCGAGTTGGTTTTAGGAAGCGGCTGTTGCCCGGCCTCACCCCGTGTGGTGGAGCCTGAGCCCCATGGGCATCTGGAGAAAACCGCTGGGAAGAGCCTGTGCCGGGACCACGGGCTCTGAAATGCCGCTCTGGCCGTGACCGTCCTGCCCACGCGCCGGAGCCGGCCGGGCCGCGGGCCTGGGGAGGGGAAGCAGGCTCCGCGTCGCCTTCAGAATGACTGGCTCTGGTTTTAAAGGCTACGGTGTCCGACTAAGGACAGGTAACTACTGTCTGCGTTTTAGAGGAAACACTTTTTCTCAGAGCGGATGAGGGTCTAGACCAGGGGTCCTCAAACTACAGCCCGCGGGCCACATGCAAATACAAATATTCTATTTGTTCCCATTTTGTTTTTTTACTTCAAAATAAGATATGTGCAGTGTGCATGGGAATTTGTTCATAGTTTTTTTTTTTTTTTTAATATATTTTATTGATGTCTGAGGGACAGTGAACTGGCCCCCTGTTTAAAAAGTTTCAGGACCCCTGGTCTAGACCAGAGGTTCTCAACCTTCTCACCCCCCAGTGGGGATGCGCCCGCAACCAAGGTACATGCCCTTGACCGGAATCGAACCCGGGACCCTTGAGTCCGCAGGCCGACGCTCTATCCACTGAGCCAAACCGGTTCGGCTCATAGTTTTTTTTTAAACTATAGTCCGGCCCTCCAGCGGTCTGAGGGACAGTGAACTGGCCCCCTGTTTAAAAAGTTTCAGGACCCCTGGTCTAGACCAGAGGTTCTCAACCTTCTGGCCCTTTAAATACAGTTCCTCATGTTGTGACCCAACCATAACATTATTTTCGTTGCTACTTCATAACTGTAGTGTTGCTACTGTTATGAATCGTCATGTAAATATCTGATATGCAGGATGGTCTTAGGCGACCCTGTGAAAGGGTCGTTCCACCGCCAAAGGGGTCGCGACCCACAGGTTGAGAACCGCTGGTCTATAGTGTCCATCCCTGTGCGGAGTGAGCGCCCCGAGCCGGGCGAGCGAGGTGACCTGTGCGCAGGTGCTCCCTCAGGCCCTCGTCTAGGGCACTCGCTGCTCGCTCGAGGGTCTGTGTGTTGAAGCTTTTTCATTGCGAGGCCCAGTCCTGGCCCAGTTCCTGTGACCTGGGCCCCCGCCTGTGAGAGCCCGAGTGTCCTTTCTCTCGGCATGTCTTCCTCCTCTTCCCCGGAATGTCACAGCATGAGCACCCGCGTGGTCCCCCCCAGCCGGACACACGTGCGTAGACTAACACGTTCGTGTCATGTGCAGTCCTATCTGAGATGACGCCTTAGTGAACGTTTTGAAAAACTAAATGACTTTAGAGACTTCATCCCAGCCCTGGCCAGGTAGCTCAGTTGGTGAGCGTGTCATCCGCATACGCCAGGGTTGTGGGTTTGATCCCGGTCAGGGCACATACAAGAAGTTACCAATGCCCTGACCGGTTTGGCTCAGTGGATAGAGCGTCGACCTGTGGACTCAAAGGTCCCAAGTTCGATTCAGGTCAAGGGCATGTACCTTGGTTGCGGGCACATCCCCAGTGGGGAGTGTGCAGGAGGCAGCTGATCGATGTTTCTCATTGAAGTTTCTAACTATCCCTCTCTCTTCCTCTCTGTAAAAAAATCAATAAAATATATTAAAAAACAACAACAACAAACAAGAAGTTACCAATGCGTCACTAAGTGGGACAACAAAATCAATGTTTCTCTCTCTCCCTTCCTCGCTCTCTAAAATAATATTTTTTTTACAAAAAAACTTTATCCCATAAAATCATACATAATCTTCCCAGGTAAGGGCGATGGTAGTAACTGGCCCAGTGGTTTCCAAACTTGAGCATGTGTCAGCATCTCCTGGGCGTTAGTAACACGCAGTCCCGAGTTTCTGATACAGCGTGCCCCCTAACCCCACCCCCCCCGCAGCAAGGTCCCAGGTTCCCCCGTGGTCATGTGCAGCTGGTCGGACCAGGTTTGCAGAACCGCTGCCCCAGCTGCAGGAGCAGGTGTGCGGCCGGGCGTGGCCTGTGAGCTCTGTGCTGCCCAAGGTCTGAGCACACGGTCAGACGGATCTGCGGTGCCCTCCTCGGTCGGGCAGAACCGAGCAGGAGTCATGTTCTTTCCGTGTCTTGAAGGAACAGGAGCTTGAGGATAAAGGTGGTGTAGCTTTCTTAGAAAACGGCAGTTAATTGGCCAGTTAAGTAACAGAACGATTGAAGATGCCACGGCTCACTTGTGGCTCGGTTTGATGTTATCCTTTCTGAGTCGTTGCGAGTAGAAAACATGCAGCAGGACCTAGCAGGGCGGTGGGCTCATCGGGCGCCCTTGGTCCTGGTCGGACGTTTTGGGCGTTTTACTTGGGGGTAAGTGAGGTCTTTGCTTCTGGTGCAGTTTATCCAGCGAGAACTTGGTGCCTGCCGAGGGCCGGGCTGTGCCCGTGGCTCTGTGGCCGCGGCCGTGCCTGGGCCTCGGTGCCGCTCCTGAGTCCCTTCAGCCTGGCTGCGCCCACCCTGCAGGCTCGCGCTTCAGCGGCGGCCGCGCCCTCAGCCTTCACCTTGTGTTGCAGGGAGTTCAGGCTCCGAACGGCAGGCCCTGTTGCAGACACAGTATGACCCCTCGCTCGGTTAATTTAGCTCTAAAGCGACGGTGACTTTCTGGTGGACGGCATCTGTCAGGCGGTTACAGTGACTCGACACTTGTCTGTGATTTGGTTCAGGTTGTAGGCGACTTGGGTGTTTGATCAAGTAGTTTAAGGTGTCGAGGGGAGAAAATTATATGTGTGAGTCGCTTCCTTTAAACGTAAAGTCATGAAATTTGTTATACATTTTGATTTATAGGCAGAGAAATAGCATTAAAGCTTATTTTACTAATGAAAAGAATTGTTTTTACTATAAAAAGCACGGAGTACAGAGTATTACTCACGTGCTCTCACCAGTGGGTTTCGAGTGTGTCTCTTGAACATGCTCCGTAGAGGGATGAGTCTCAGTGAGTCACCGTGGTTCCTTCCTGAGACCCAGCTGGGGGCCTGGGGACCCCCATGGGGAGTTGGCCAGCTGCTGGGAGCACCTCGGCTGCAGCGGGAGCAGGTCTTAAAACGTGTAACTACAGCGACACGGGAGGTGACGTGTGGTATCACTGTCGTGTAACTACAGCGACATGAGGTGACGTGTGATGATGTGTAACTACAGCGACACGGGAGGTGACGTGTGGTGGTGGTGTCGTGTAACTACAGCGACACGAGGTGACGTGTGATGATGTGTAACTACAGCGACACGGGAGGTGACGTGTGGTGGTGGTGTCGTGTAACTACAGCGACACGGGAGGTGACGTGTGGTGGTGGTGTCGTGTAACTACAGCGACACGAGGTGACGTGTGATGATGTGTAACTACAGCGACATGGGAGGTGACGTGTGGTATCACTGTCGTGTAACTACAGCGACACAAGGTGACATGTGATGATGTGTAACTACAGCGACACGAGTTGACATGTGCTGGTGGTGTCGTGTAACTACAGCGACAAGAGTTGATGTGTATTGTTGTCGTGTAACTACAGCGACACGGGAGGTGACGTGTGGTGCTGTAAGACAACTGTTTTTGCTGAAGAGACACAGAGAAACTACTTTTTCTCAGCAGTAAATACAGTGAGACCTGGGACGTTTGTGGTGAGATTGGGTGGGCATCCCTGTCCCAGTGAGGGGCCCAGGCCTTGAGGGTGGCTTGCTGGTTCTTGCTCCTGGCTGACCGTGTGTGACGTTTGTCCTTGCATGTCCACTGTCCTGGTTGCAGCATGAAGCGAGCCCGCTCTCTGAATGTCCTAAACGTGGGTGACAAGGCAGCTGAAGACCATTTCCAAGTAAGGAGCCCCGCCCCCCGCCCTGACTCCCAGACCAGGTGGCGGGCGGCCGCAGGGCCTCTCGAGCTGGGTGACAGACAGACAGACAGGCGCCACGTGACGTCTCCTGAGCATTGACTGGGGCCGGGTTATGGGAATGTCACGTCATCAGCATTCTCGGTACATTAATCAATGGCCTTGAGAAATGGTCTGGTCGGCCTGATTGAAATGAAACCTTCTGATGGAGTGATGTCTGCACGTGGCCTGTTCACTTGTGTGACTTTAGCCTGCATGGCTAATGGTCCAGTTCAGCTGTTACTGGTGTGAGGAACGGACACGCTGTCCGGCATTGAACCTGTGAGCCTGTCACCTTCACATTGAAAACTCTTGGCACCCTGTTCTCTGTCAGAAAGGCCTTTTCTCATTTTTGTAAATGTCTGGCGACTGTGGGTGCGGCCAGGCCTGGGCCCTGGGCCCGCCTTGTCTGTCAGGTGCCGGGCAGCCGGGCTCCTCTCAGAACCTTGGACCCGGCCGCACCGCTCCCTGGGTGCGTTGCCGGCTTTCCCGTTCCCTGCAGCACCTGGGACTGTCCAGGCCGCTCTCCCTGGAAGGGAAAGGCCTCTGCTGGACGCTCCGGGCGGGGCAGGGTGCAGGGCCCGCAGTGGACACGCCTCTCCCCCGCGTCTGGTGGTGGCACCTGCTCGTGAGCACCAGGCCTCGCGTGACGTGGAGTTTGAGCTGAGGCCGCTGGGCCGGCGCCGTGCGGAGAGCTGGTTGAGTGTAATTTTCCCATTTGTTTTTCATGCAGGAACGAAATAATTGTCTCGCAGATGCGAGAGCTCTGAGTGCCAGCCACACTGACCTGGTGCACTGCGGGGCCGGGCCGGGGCCGAGCTAGATAAGCCGAGCCCGCCCGCCAGGCCCTGCCCACGCTGCCCGGCAGGGAGGCCGCTCGCTCCCTTCGCGAGGTGGTGACCCGCCACCCACGGAGGCTTGTCCGAACTGTTCCGTGGTCTGCAGTCCTGGTGACCGAGCGCTGCCGGAGCACGACCGTGAGACCGGCCTGGCGGGCCAGGCTGCAGTGCGGCCAGCAGCGGCGTCCCCGCGGACTCGCTGCTTCTCACGGACACGCACTTTGCACGGCCCGAGCTGGTTTAAATTCAGACTTGTTGATGCGGTACTTGGTGGGCTGTAAACGGAGCGTCTGGAACCTTCAAGTCCATCTTTGGAGAATAAGCATCTAATGACCCGTAACGCCTGGAGCGTAGTGGGGGCCAGCGGGGAGGGTCCCTCAGGTGCCAGGTCCCAGCTCCCGGGCAGGGGCCGCGTACTCGGCTCCCGCCCTGCCCACCCTTCGGAGCCCTGGCCGCACTCCAGGCTCCCATGTCTTCTGTTTAAAAAGCTCTTCTTTTTGGTCCCGTAATGGTGGGTTTTGACAGGAACATTTTCAGATCAACCCTCAGGCACTGTTCCTCACAGGACTCTGAGCTCAGCCAGTAGGTGAAGCAAGTGCTCACCAGGTGACCCGTAGGGGTTCCAGGTGAGAACGCCTGGGCGCACGCAGGAGCACGTCCACGCCGGGGCCAGCGCTCCCTTCAGCCAGGTCCGACCCACCGGGCGTCCGTCCGCCTGAGGACCATGTATGTTAGTGCGGGGCACAGGGGCGCCCAGCGGCCTTTTCCACATGAACAGCGCTGGGCTGGCTCCAAGCTGCCTGGTTCTGGCGTCGTTGGCCGAGTGGGACGTGGGCTGGAGGCAGCGGCACGGGGGTCACAGGGAGGCTGACTCAATTCCTTTCAGTCCCCGTGATTACAGGCTGTTTGTTGGTGACAGTGCGCCTTGCTCCCTGCGGGCCGGCTGGCCTCCTAGTTCCTGGGCACCTGCGCTACCCACGGCCGGCACGTCCCTGGCAGCCGCCTCCCTTGGCCACCCTGCTTTTTGGCTCCATTTCGGTTTGCAGGTTCTGATGGGTCAGGTCCCTTTCTACACGCACACGCCGTGGGCCGAGAAACCTGGAGAGGAGAGGGCTCTGGCCCTGCGGCCACGGCTCCATGCGAGGCAGCAGCATCGCCAGGTGCCGTCCCCTTCACTCCATGTGGCTGGCTTCTCCCACGAGTAGCACAGCCCCTGGGACCCAGGGCCCCTGGTGACAGGTCCCTTGGAGCAGCTCCCAGGAGAATGGACCGGGACTCCCGTTGCTGGGGCCCATCTGCCAGGACCCTTTCCTGAGCCTGACCGCTCCCCGCCCGGCCCGGCCCCCTTGGGTTGTGGTGCCTTCGCAGGTGGTGGAGGGTTAGGGGTGAGAGGACAGACTGAGGCCCTTGTGACGGCTCCATGCTCACGGCCCATGCGCGTCGGCACCTCCTTCAGGCCTGCTACCTGCGTCTTCCCCTTCTCGGAGCAAGCTCTGCGCCAGGCGGCCCTGTGTGTTCCTGGGGGGCCAGCCCATTCCCCATGGTTCCTGCCCGAGTCCTGCAGGCACACACGGAGGCCCCCCACAAGCATCTGAACCAGAGGCGGAGGGCGTGGGGAGCAGGCCTCCTGACCCTGCGGCCTTCACAAGGGGGTGCAGGCAGTTCCGGAGTTAAAAAGCCCCCGGGATGTCATGTGACTGGGACTCAGTGCTCATGGGGAAGTGCGAACGCTAAGGACCTGCACGTCAGGCAGGACCCGTCTCGCCGTGTAGCGTGTTCTTGGGCCGCACGGTGCGGGCTGCCGTGGGACACGCTCATATGCACACTTGGCAGCAGGTCACGTGCAGACCACCCTGTCCCAAGGGAGCCCCACCCCAGGGAGAATGTGGTCCCCAGCATGGGGCTGACCTCGAGGGGGTGGGGTGCAGGTCTGAGGATGCGGGGGTGCCGAGGCCCAGGGGGCAGGCAGGCGCTCCTTAGGGACTGTCGGCTCCTGGTCGGTCTGTGCTGGGTGGGCAACCCTGGCCGGGGGAGCGGAGGGGGGCAGGTCACCTCAGGGTCAAGAGCTGGGTCGCGGGACACATTC